TTCCGACATTCTCATTGTCCATGCCTAGTTTCCTCGGCAGTGGGAAAAGGTCGTGTACAATTAGCATTACTCCGAAAAGCGACGCGCTCTGATTGTAAAACTAAGACCAGAAGCTCATTGAGTGGGGACTCATGGCAAGAGGCGTTAAAGGTAGGGACAAACAGCAGAGGGCTGCTGTTTCGTTAGAAAAGTCGAGAAAAGGGCTATCCGGAAGAGAAGCCAGGTCAGCAGGGAACTTTACGCACCCGTAGAAATTGGTAAACTAGTAACCAAGTACTTGCGGAGATCCACTGACCAGATAAAGATACATCAACCGTAGTATTCAATCGCCGACGGAAGGCCGATCACGCACGTTTGTGTTTGCCGCGTGCTTGTGGTAAATTACTCAACCCAGGATCAGATCAAGATACTGCATCACTGTGAGTACACTGCCCGCACAACCTCATTATTCTTACTCGCCGATGGCAATGATCGGCACAACATCATAATTAAACAATTTCATGAGCATCTTGGGTAGTGACACCTCCTATACAAGAAGCCGCTCAAGAAATCGTATCTTCACATTAGACTCAAGAAGATTCTACAACACCCATATGTAAATTGTGTAATAAATTGTATAATAAATGTATAATTAAACAACTCTCACGACTCTTGTACAGCCCTTCCTACTAACTTTTTCCCGGGCGTCTGCTAGGGCGGGCGGCAAATTAAGTTATTGAAGCATTAGCAGTTCGAGCCAAGAATTACATCACTATATTTCGAACAATTAGACAATAAATGAAATGGCAATTTAAATTATGTTTACACCACATAGTTAAGATTTATCCATTGATCATAAGATTAATCATATTTAAGTACTGTCCAATACAATATCTGTATAAAAAATGAATAATACAAACTTAAAATAACAAAAGTATAAAAATATATTTCAATAGTCAATATATTTTTATTTGTAAAATAGTTTTACATTTTATTGTTTGGTTTATATTCTACTTATTATTTATAATGTTTTACAATTTTGCTTTCATTAATTTTTATAGAGATATAAATTTATATACGTGAAAGACTAGAAACTTCTATGCAAGATTTAAATATGTTAATGCTATACAAAGAAATATGACTATTTCATACACGGCTTTTTCGTTCAATTATTTAGTTTAATTTTTATTTCTAAATGGCCTGACATCTCATGTCTATCAAAATATTTAATTTCTATAACTAATATCAATATTTGTGAACCAATACTGGTTAGTTATAAATTGCTTATTTTACATTATATGTTTATTAGATGATCTACTGCACACTAGATGTACTTTACCGCATGAAAATACACTATAACTGTTCGAAAAATAATCCCACAATTTGACTCGTCAGCCAAACGTGCAATTATTAACTTAGAACAAAAAACCCCACTAGATGTTGTGTGGGGTTGCCGGGCAAGTAAAGGGTGAATGCACTGATTAATAATTAACACATGTCTTTATTATTTCTGTTTATTTGAATTAATTTATAAAAGGATGAATTACAGATGAACTTTATATTTCTTGATAATCTTGTGATGTTGAAATATATTAACTATGTATGAAGCAGGTTATAATCTATTGAATATTATCACTAAGAGGTTATGGTGATTGTAATGCTCTGATCGAACACTGGAATGCTATTGTGTTTATCTTAACACGTGTGCAGTTGCCTCTAAATATCGGTCGTAAGAGAGCCTAAATGGAGGTTATGTGGCGTTTATAGCTGGTCTTGTTCAAGAGTATGTCCGGGAAGCTTCCGTAGTTGGACTTTATCCGTCCGTCTTCTACATAAGCCGAGAAATCAAGAATGAGTACTAGCTGTAAGGACTTACTTGCAGTGTATCGTGATTTTCCAGTCTCTCTTCGATGGCTTGTTATTACGTTCCCTTGCAATGTTGCAACCCTTCAGTTCTTCCTTGTCTCCAAGTGAGACCACAAGTGGTCAGGTCCCACGCAATCCAGTCTTGATGAGATCAATTCAACTGTACACTAATTCACAATAGTGGAAAGAACTTATTATTAAAACTCAGCTAGCTAAACGACTCATCTCTCCGGTCCTCCTCCGTGAGAGTTGGTCGTGACTTATCCTTCACTGTAAGAAGTATTTGGAAAGAGTAAGTGAGGGTACATTACGTAGTCCCTTCTTAAAATGATTCACTGATCCCGCTCCATTAGGGATCCCTTCTTCCTTTATTAATTAACCAATCAGTGGTTGATCTTGGGTCGCACAATAGATTATGCACGCCTTCATTTCCATTTTATTCCGGGCTCAGTTCCGAATGTACTAATCGGGAAAGTGTCGGTAGGTGGCGAGCCTTTTCCATTGGTCACCTCTCTTTGGTTGCCTCATCCCTCTCTGGGACTTGGCTAGAAGAAGGGTCCGCTTGGGCGTGGTCAATTTTCCAATACGATCGACCAGATGTGGCATAGCCAAGAACAATGCAAGCATTGTCTTAAAGGCCGAGTGCGCACGTATGGTCATTGCATGTGTAGTACGTACGGGTTTTCGGTTGCAGTAAATATTTGTACTCAATGCTTTACGCATATCTGATATTCGTTTCGAATCTACTTTGGGGTTCTCCCGGCAGTAAACCCATTAGGTTCTACTGCACTGGGAGTATGAGCACGTTCCGCTAGAGTTTTCCAGATGTTTTATGACACTAGTACAAATAATTATGAGCAGGAAAGTATTGAAGTCTTAAATACAATTTTCATGATATTACTTGTCAGATATTTTATTGCCTTACTAAACGGAGTCTCTTATTCTCAAACAATAACAGTAGATATATTTTTAAAATAACA